GCCCCTAGCTTTCTTCCAACCTACTCCTACACCAGAAAACATCGCCGTCGAGGCAGTCGGTGGTTGGACACACGTAATACGTGTCCCAGCCATCTCAACTGGTGAAGTTTTACTACTTCATCAATTGGTTCGCCATCCTTACCTAGTACCCGTTTCCTAACAACTGAGTTACTTACCCGGTGGTGTCAGGATATACGACCAATGTTCGATGAAATCTATGATCGAATACTAGTAACCTACGAATATCCTCTACTCTTACCGGCCATGTTTCACTGCCATAAAGTAGGAAGGAACGAACTGCTGCGCAGTAAACCCGTCATTTGGTTGGTAGACGGATATCTCGCCTACGCCATAAATGACACAAGTTGGCAAAAGCTAATCGAGCCTTCTGTATCCGTGCTGAGATTTCGTCACACACCAGACCACAAGGGCTGATGAGACTTCCAAAAGGACGTACATTTAATTGATAGACCAATATAAATCTTTGGACTTTATGAATTGGAAACATAGAGTTCCCCAACTGTCGTCAAAGGATATTTCGAACGTTATCTGGCAACCGCATGTCCATCAGCTTGTGATCGATTGTTTCCTTAATAAAATGAGTACACACTCGATACATTACAGTGTTAATCCTGGTAGCTTAAGTAGAGAGACAATGTACTTCAGTATGTCTTTTTAGATAACCAGTGAGCTGTTAACCAAAGGAATAAATCGTCAATTTAGATGTTGACTAATCAGATTAGTGAGTACTAATATTGTTGAGTTAATGCCTCGATTTGGGTACCAGGGCAGTATCCCAGCCCTCACACAAATTGAATAATGTGGCACGTATCTATTTGGTGCCTCCTTTTACCAATGTTTATGTGTTTAAATAAATAAATAGCATGATAATTGATACATAATAGTTATACTATATCAAAAAATATACAGCTGTGTTGTGGGAAAAAAGTGTTCAAACAGTCGTGAAAACAATTTCCAAAAAATTGCTCATTTTCTCAAGCACTTAAATGCACTTATACTTAGATGGAGGTACAAACCTTAATAGCTGTGTTTGAAAATCTGTCGAGTCCTGTATACTATGCTCAACAATCGTCTTAATTGTTTGGGGACTGAGTAACCTACAGACTAATTTTCTTCGAGTGCCCGTGATTTATCATGTCAATTTAACGTCAATATTTTGCATGTAATCATGCTATTTTATTACACAGAGCTATTCTGTTGGCCAATAATCTTGTCTTTGATTTAAAATCACTCGTAGGCTTATGTCAATAACGGTCTCGTGAATGGGTATCATTCGACCACATTACATTATTGCACATCATCAAACGATTAGGATTCTGTCCTTTCATAAATTTCGTTTACAAAATCATTAACATCGTAACCCACAAGATAGATATATACATAAAAACAAGTTTCTGTTCGTCCAGAAAATAGGTTGGTTTGGTGAAAGCATTTTTAAATAAACATCTAGATTATGACTTAATTTGCTTACTTACGGGGAAACCACATTTCGGCAAGACATCTATGGTTTATTATGGATGTAAATATTACTATAAGTGGTTGTAAAGCTATGTGAAAACATCAAAGTATTGTAAATTTGTTCACATGAAACTAGTAGCGTCATTGGCTGTAGAAAAAATTCTTGGGATGAAAATGGTCATGAAAAATAGTGTAGTCAGTCAAATCAATCGATCGGATTAATAGCTAATTTTATTCAGTCAGTCAGCTACAACGTATGTGCATCGGTCCAAGTTGCCATACCTCATTAGTACAACAAGATGAACACCGGATTCATAAAGGTAGTTAATTCAGTGGTGTAATATATAAAAGAAGGATTGCATATAAGGACATAGTACAGGAAGAAAGAATTAGTTCGTAGAAAGAAAGAGATGAAGTGATTTTAATCTCTTAGTTTAAGGGAAGACAGGGAGTATATACACCTACGCCAATGTGATCGATTCTGAGCCATGTCACCCACAGTCTCCAACCATTAGTTACGAAAGTCACGCGGACCCCAACCAAGTAGTCTGCATCTACCAACATGGCTCAGACTAGAAGTTAGTGACTTCAAGCACTGATGCCACGTTTTGGTTTGGCCGCCCCTAACTTTCTTCCAACCATCTCTAACACCCGTTAGCATTGCACGACGTGGTAATCGGTGTTCATGCATACGTAACACGTGGCCTAACCATTTCAGTCGATGAAGATTCACAACCTCATCTTCTGATTTACCATCATTCCCTAATACTCTAGGTCTAACATCACTATTACCTACCCGGTGATCCCAGCAGATGCCAGCAATATATCTAAGGCATCTGTAGTCAAATACTAGTACCTTACGAGTATCTTTTACTGAATAGCACGTTTCGCAGCCGTAAAGTAAAACAGAACAAACTGCTGTGCAGTATACTCATTTTTTAATTGATAGACGGATATCTCGATTTCACCAAAGGTGGCGTATTTCGGCAAAAGCAAACGAACTTTTTGAATCCGTGCAGAGATTTCGTCAAAAATCAATCCATTAGGGCTGATCAGACTTCCAAGATAAGTGAAGCTTTCGATGCGTTCGACTACTTCACTTCCTATCCTTAGTTCAGATGTTGATGCAGGCCAGTCCTGAAGCAACAACTTGCATTTAAAGGGAGAGAAGCGCATCCCAAACATTCTGGCATTGTTGCTTAGTGCTATCAAAGACTCTGCATTTTATCAGCGTCTTCACCAAACAGGACTATGTCATCTGCATATTCTAAGTCGGTAAGTGTACCTCCTGGTAGGAGATCAATGCCCGAAAATTCAGTCAACGAGAACATTGTTTCCATCAGTAGGTCTGTGATGAAATTGAACAAAAATGGAGATAGTGGACAGCCTTGACGGACACCACTTGAGGTTGCAAAAGTAGATGACAGTTCGCCATAACCTCTGACTAAACTGGTAGTGTTCGAGTAAAGAGCCTTCACAAGGTTTATGCACTTCTGAGGTACGCCTTTAATGACAGACACTGCCACAGAATCTCGCGGTCTACCGAGTCAAATGCTGCTTTTAAGTCGAGAAAGACCACCATTGTCGGACGCCGATAAGCATGCCTGTGTTCTCAAACCTGACGAATGGTGAATATACGGTCGATGCAGCCACAACCAGGTCTGAAGCCAGCCTGATTTTCTCGTGTTTGCAGTTCACGAATCTTAGTTAGGCGTTCTATAATTATTGATGCTAGTATTTTAGATGCTATATTAGTCGAACTAATCCCTCTATGGTTATTACAGGATGATTTTGACCCGCTCTTATATATTGGGACAATCAGTGATTGTGATCGTTCAGATGGAATTACGTCCAACTCTCAGATTTCAGCTTGAATATCAGTTAATCCATATAAACCAGCTACTCTTCCTCGTTTCAGATCAGTTATAGCATTTTGAAATTCAGCTCGAGTCGGGGACGTACTTCAATATTCAATTCACGCTGTCTGGAAATGGTGGATAGTTGTAGAGTAGCTGAAGGCTAGCTGAACTGCTCCTTAAAATATTTCGCCCATAGTTCTAAACGTCTGGACTGGGAGCAGATAAGAGTGTCGTCTTTTTTCGAAATAGTATCGCTTACACTTGACTTATTAATTCCTGTTTCCTGTATTAGTCTGTAGAGCTGTCTGGCGTTACCTACAGCCGCTGCTTTTTCCATCTCTTTTGCTTTCGTTGCCCACCACTGCTCATGATTGTTGCGTAGACTTTTGCTTAGCCTAGATCTGATTTGTTTTCGCTCTTCATCGTGTTCAGAGCCTGATGGGATGAGTTTACGAGAATCCATCAGTGCAATAGACTTAGGAGAAATCCATTGGTTTTTTATAACTCTTTGGCTTAAGTCACTAACAGATGTCGCTGCGGTTTCCACAGCTGTTTGTATATCTTCCCAAGAAACATCTGGATCAGCCTCGTTTTCAGGACTGCTTAAGTGCAACCTCAGTTGTTCCTGGAACCTACTTTTGTATTTCTCATTACTCAATTCAATCGTAATGGGTCTTTTTAGTGTGGCTTTTCTGCGTCCAGTGAGATGCAAACAGATGCGTGCCCGTATTAGGGCATGGTCGGAGTCCAAGCAGGTATTTCAGAATGAGCGAAAATCTCCTATCGACCCCCTCCAACGATGACTGATGGCAGTATGGTCTATTTGAGTCCATCGTTGGTTTGGTGCAAGGGGTCCCCTTGCTAAACAATGTCTCTCATTATGCTTAAAATTAGTTTGCTAAAAATAAACGATTGTCTAAGCACAGTTGCTGCAGACGATCACCATTATCTGTTCGCTGTGTCGGAATCCCAAAATACCCACCTAAATGTCTTTCTGCTTGGTTTAAGCTACCTACACGGGCATTGAAGTCACCTGCTGCTAGTACTATGTCTGAACGTTTAGCTTTCTGAAGAAGTTTATTCGGAAGTGATTAGGTCTATATCAACCAAATAAACTTCTTAATTGGAATTTGAGAAATAGAAGACATAGCTTTCGTTTCTCACAGAAGTCCACCATGGTTAAATAAAGTCAGTATATTGCAAAATGTCATTATTTCACTAGATATTACCAACAAGCTCATTTTAATTAGATCACATTCAAGTTTTTCTTACTTGTTTTTCAGATCATAAGATAAAAAGGAAGGATTTCTTAGTTGTTCATTGTCTTATCCCTTTTGAAATTTTCTGTTCTCATGTTGGACTTTTATCTGTCTTAAACAAAATTCACTTCCTCCTGTTGTGGTGATTACCGAGAACACAAGCTAACATCTATAAAGGAAAAGAGTCGTAACTCTGGAAACTAAGCATAATAACGAAAGTCGACTTTTAAAGAAACTACTTCAGTTGCTACGAAAGATTATTGGTGTTTAGAGTTTTGTTCAGATTGAAGACTGCACCTCTTTGAATGATTTTATCCTGAAATTATTTCAGCCTTTAAGTAACATTCTACATTCGTCGTTAAAATTCGTCCAAATCTTGTTTTAAGGCTGCTGTTAATTTTCAATGGCTCGTACTTGCTCTAATTTTGTTTGGGTGACAAAGAAAAATATTCTGCTTTTTTGGCGTTCGTGGTTCCAGGCTATCTTTGTAATTGTTGTTCCTTTGCTCTTAGTAAGTGTGCTTGTTTTCTTACGTGGAAGGGCAACAAGAGAGGTAGTAAAGCAGCCTTTAAATTGGTCTTCCTTTCGTGTAGATAGTGGTTTTTATTTTTCTCATAAATATGTGGCATACGCTCCCAATGATACACTAAATCTCCAACTCATGAACGCGGTTCATATGTATACGAATTTACAACCTTTTGGCTTTAAAACGGAAGGTGATGCTGTTGCGTTCTTTCAGAGCAATGATGTCAGATCCAAAGAAACATTAGGAGCCGTGATCTTTGATCCTTTTTCCAATTTGAGTGTGGCAAGTTATACCATAAGACTTCGCTCAAAAAATGACTGGTCTACGAGAGTGTTATTCCCAATGTTTTTCAAAGGCGGCCCAAGGTCTAAGGATATTGCAGCGTCTCCCCCAAACTATAAGGAGGAATTTTTAGTTTTACAATATGCTATAGATCGCTCCTTAATCAACATAAATTGCAAAGTGAATGATTCCTCCCAAAAATTGAAGGTCGTATTACAACGAATGCCGTTTCCACCTTATATCAAAGATGAGTTTATAATTATCATCCAAAAGCAACTGGCACTTATGTTGATATTGGGCTTCATTTTCCCAACATTGTATTGCACTCGACTTATCCTGATCGAAAAACAACGAGGAATGAAAGTAAGGTCTAATCTTATATTTTCAGTTGTAGGAAATGTTAAAGCTCCTGGGATTAGGAGAATCAACGTATTGGTTTTCCTGGCTGATTACAAACTTGTTTGTGTTTACTCTCATTAGCCTCTTTCTTAGTATTTTACTCTGTTTCCAATTATCAGGAAATGGCCCTATTTTGGGGCTATCAAATCCATTCCTTATCTTTTTGTCATTGCTCTTATACGGTATCAGTATTTTTACGTTTGGATTTGCTCTTTCTACTTTATTCAACTCTGGTAAGTGTACATAGTTTTCCTTTTGATTTTTATGGTCTGAGAAGTTTCAGTTGCTGTTTTTACAAATTTTCCTGGTTGGCTAGTTATAAAAATAGCATACGACATAATCACTACTAATAAGATCGATTATATATGGCTTTATAAGCATTTCAAAATTTTATGGTTAAACAATTGAACTCGGGTTTGTCTTGTTTTTGAATGGTGAGTGAAAGATAATTAGGAACTATTTAACCCAACTCGTGCTTTGATTAGAAGAGGAATTGGAGAGATCGTTATATCATTTTATAAGAGGGGGCTTAGTGGTTGAATCAATTGACTTACAATCAATATATGACGATTTCGAACCCCATAACAACTTTCAATAGGTATGTGGTAGCACTAGCTCTCGCACAAAAAGTGTAGATGAAAGCTAATTAAATAACATGTACTTATCCATTGAGTTATATGAATTACCAAATGAACCTTATTCTCTGGATTTTGGTATAATTCAACTCGGTTCTTATAGGTAGACATACGACATAGGTTATATTATGGAACTGCATTTATTCAAATTGCCTGTGTATAATAGTCTAAAAGGAGTAATAAATAATAATAAGTTGAAACAAGCAAGACATGTGCAAGTGACAGAAAAATAATTAGAAAGCACCAAAATATTTAAGACTTCGGGAAGAACAGAAGGTAAATAAATATGTACTCCCCGAGCCTTCGACCTAAAGGTCTGATCTACAAGGCGGTAGAGCAACGTTAGGAGATGCAATCCCATGGTAGCAGGCGACCAACGATTGGCTCATACGCCATTTGTTCCCTCAGGATCCTGGAGCCCATGTGCACCATTGGTTTAAAATCAAGGTTTTCCAACTCCCCTAGGTAGACTCTCCGTCTCCACTAACCCGGTTAAAATGCCAGACATTCGCTTTTCGTCCTCTCAGTTTCGTAAACAACACCCCCACCGCGAGAAGGCAATGAGTAGGACTTCCTTGACAGTGGCTGTATACGCGAGTATGGAAGGCCTAGGCGTATATACTAAAAAGTCATAATAAGCCATCAAGTGCTGTTCAACAATCGTTCTTTTTAAGTTGATTTATAAATCAACTTAGGCATTGATTTCGGACCATCTTATTATTGGGATCCAGCTAAAGACTTATCTCCATCCGTACCTTTTATCCTACTACATAGGTTTCGTCTGCTGGAATAAAACCTTAACCTGTAATACAATATATATATATATATATATATATATATATATATATTCATGTTATAGTTTTGAAATACTGTTGTTTACTTCCAAGGCTTCATCAAACGACCCATGTAAAAGAATTTGAGTATTAAGCTGCTACTGGTATTTTTATGAAGTTCCTGTGAATTATGAGCATTTACCTAGAGACGGAATCGCTACTGAGGAAAACTGTTATGTATGTTAAATGTTTAACTTGTGCTTGGTATTCAAACCTCAAATCTGACGAAGCATAGTGAGAATATAGAAGTCGGTAACTGGGATTTATTTGACTTCCAAAACAAATCAGATTGATACATGAATACATTCCGTTATACGTTGATTTTACTCACATTTGATGATCAGTTAACAGTTATCACACATAGGATAAACAATAAGAATTACTACAAATTCCAAATTACGAAGTTTACACTGAATCGATGCAAAGAATATTATCTTGAACAAACATGATACGGAAATAAATCAACGTTATACTGAACAAAATACCACACTAAAAATAAAGCAGATATTACACTGAGTAATTACCATATTGAATTAAAATTGGGAATAATGTTGAAAGAAATACAAATACGTAATTTAGCCTATTTATCCTGTCATATCAAAATTATCCCACAAAATGTATCATTTTATTTGTCTGCTAATGATTGTCAACGTTTTTGAAATGCCATCATGGCCAAATATGTTTTAATTTAATAGTTGATTAGTGTTTGAAAATACAACGGTCTGGAAAATTCATTATATAAATGCACACAAAAAAGTAATTTAATTTATCTATGTGTTTCTAGTCAATATCATAAAGCCATCTAACATGTTTAAAATAAGCTTTTTAAACAGTTCACTCTATGTTTACTGTTTAAAATAACAAATGTCTTCCTTAATTTTTGCTTACATTATAGCTCATACTGGTGTGGCAATAGTTTGTACAGTTCTGATTGTTATCTCATTACCTTACCCACTTTTGGAACGACATTATAATGAACTAAACATATTCATTAAAATGTTTGCTTGCTTATTACCCAGTTTAGGCATGGGTTTATATGCATTTTAATTGGGCAATTCGAGGGCGCAGGTAATATACTCAATTACTTAAAATAATGACGTTTTAATGTTCTGTTTCATTTTTGAGTTATGATCTATACCCTGAATGTTTCGTCCTTTTTGTTGAAAAGGGCCGATATTAAGACCCAACCGCACTTCTATTTTGGCTACGTTTAATGGAATTATTGCGTCTATTTACAGAGATCAATTCTAATTACTTTTGCAAAACAAATTTTTGATCGACATATCGTGAACCATTCGTTTCACACATCTAGTAGTGCACAGTGACGTCCCCAATTCGTAATTTTATCATGTAATCAGGACTATAGTTGTGTTTAACATTCATTTCTTGGAATACACTTTTTATTCTGAGCTGTGATCAAAGGCATCTGAGATGTACACCATGCGAACTTTTCATTATTTCAAGACGGAAACATCAATTAACCATTGTTACCTGTTTTCAACTGACACCATTAAATGTACAAGACCCGGAGGCGAGTATATCATAACGGCATTACCGGATGAAAACTATTTTAGTAATGAGTTCTAGTTATTTTTTTATAAGACCCTTTTTATTTCAATGAACTGTTAAACTGCACTTATCGCTTATTACTGTTACATTGTAGGTTTGGGTGTACAATTCTCATCTTATTTCAAACCAGCTTCTCCAGATGACAGTCTATCTATTCATCTCCTCTGCTCAATGTTTATTTTCGATTCTATTGTATTTCTGATACTTACTCATTATATAAGTGCTGTTTGGCCTGGAAAATACGGTATTCCCAAACCATGGTACTTCCCATTTCTCGTAAGCCTTATTTGTCGCCATAAACAGTATTGTTGTCCTGAATAATATAAAACTAACCACTTTTTTCATTCACTTTATTCACAATTGTTAATATGTAGGTTATTATGATGGATTTGAATGTATCCTACAATTTTGATATTATCGTCAGTATTATTGTGGCCACAAGTTACACCTAGTTTTGAATTATGTCGTGAAAAATTCTTGTTTAATTCAAAAATAATTAAATTTCATGGGAGATTTTAAGTAACTGTTCTATTGCTTTAAAAACGTTACTAAAGCCGCAATGAATCGGCCAACTGATTAAATCACTGCAAAACTTAGGGACAGACTCAGATCGGTTCACACCTCCATACTTTTAAATTATCTGATTAAACGAAACTTAGATATAATAAGAAAAATAAAAGCAAACAAATATGCAGAATAGGATGTTGTTCATTATTTAGAGATAGATAATTAAATGACGCATTTAAACCGTGTTACTGGAGTTTCATTTTCACTTCTTTAGCCTTATGAAGAAATCTAGTCAAAATTTTTGATTCCCAACAATATATAATCCTGTTATCGTAAACCTAACGCTCGACGTTGAACTTATCGACTTGCGAACCTTGAAATTATATAATATACTGCAAACACAAGTTACGAAAACCACTAAATCTACAACCATACTTGCTCTGACCAAATAGTGATGGTTTAATGGTTGAACCACTCAAATTTCTACTACCGTATCTCAGGACCGGGACATCTATTTTGATATGCTCTGTCAGGCAGCATCACTTATCCTCACTCAAAGTGTAGTTCAAAATCGCGTGCACACGCTTCTTGGTTACTGAGTTGCATTCAAGTTATTAAGGATAAAGTTTTGCGAGTTCCTATTGTGAAGCTTTTGGTGATTATGTCAGCTTAGTAGAATGGAATGACGGACATTTCTCGGACTAAAGTGAAAACTAAAAACCACGGATTGACTAGTGTTAAGAACCCTCAGCACTTTATTCTAACCGTAGCTGCTACCTTGACGTGGTGGTGAGGCGTGCCTATCGTGATGATACAACCGAGCTATATTGGCTAGAACATATTTTCCTTTAAGTCCTATTATGCAAGACAGGTCTGTTGGAGAACAGTAAAACTAAAAGTAACAACTTAAGGTTCGAGAGTGAAGTCGTACTACTGACTTTGGAGATGTGTAACAGCAATAAGATGTTTCTCTCGGACAACCGGCATCCTCAACGTCGCTTCCTTCTCACAACGAAACGAACGGGATTAGAAACGATTGACCTTAAAAATGCCATGTCTTACCTTACCCCACGGATTTCCGTCGCCGGCGTTATGACCTTTTGTAGTGCATAGCTAACACATCCAAAACTTACCATAAAAAGGCTGTACGCGACCGACCTCAAGCAGATGTCTCTTGGGCTCTGTGGTCACGCTCCCAGGTCGCTAAGACCTTCATTAATTCAGCTTCTCTTTCAAGTTCCTCAAGAATAAATGTCCTTCCATGGTGTGGGCAACCAAGAAGTGATAACCTTTCTCATATCTCTAACATCTTGTTGATAATCAAATCCCTCCAGCTCTTAATAATACTTTCATCCTCATGACTAACCCTTCTCATTTATCTGCATTGCCACGCGCCACCGATGCTAATGATTTTAGTTCACGAAATTTTATTCTTAGTCTCCTGAAACCACGCTCTACACTATATGTTGGGGCTTTTAATGTTCGAACCTTGTGTCAGATAGGACAACAGGCTTCTTTAACTAAGATTCTAAAATCT